AGTCTTACACTGCTAAATTAGCTCTCGTGTAGCTTTTCACGAAATCCAAAAACAAACAGTCAATTTGATATGTTCATTATATTGAGCCTGAACAATGAAATTTATTTTACATTCTGTAATTATGTTATCAGTTTTAGCTTTGTGACACATATTTTCATATACTTTCTCTATGTATGACATAATGTCAGTATGTCACTTGTGGAAGAAAATTAATCTGTAAACAAGTTATACTCGGGTAGTTTTGGTTCATTGTTAACAGACTCACTCCACCTTGAAATATACTGCAAAATATTTTAAGTTTCTTTGTCAACTTGGTAACCAATTTTTTCTATATATTGACTCTATGTACTAAGCTAGACGTAATTTGTCCCCTGTCACAGTATCAGTACCGTACTGCTGAGTACATCTTGATTATATTACTTTCACAGGTGTAAAAAAATAGCTGGTATTATCTGCTTTAGTATGGTGATGGATAAGTGATCCACAGCGGGAAAACTTCTAATACATTTTTCATCTTTAATATTTTCTTAATAATAATAATAATAAAACTTATGATCAGAGACAATTATGTACTTAGAGCGATATTAAAAATCAGCCTGGTTGTTAGTATAGCTAGTTAAGTACTTATAAAGATTAGGATGAATTATTTCATCAGTTGGGTACCGTCGCTCTTAACGATTGAGTTTTGAAATAAATGTATACTAATTAGCAACCATGCTTGTCCCTTCCGTGTGTTATTTATTTCTGAGGGTTACTAGTTTATATTTATTTGTGTGTTTGTGCACAAAAATGGCTATTAAGGACATTATACCCCAGGTAAGTCAGTGCTACATTCTAATACTGAGAATGATCACCATAAGAAATAGCTTGTTTTCAGGTTTCGTGGAAACCACAAGATTGAAGAAGTTTAACAGGATAAGTAGTGATCAGTGTTGGATATTCTAAAAAATGGTTTCTCTAGGCAGTTTGAAGTAAGATGATAGTAGAAAATGGGATAGCTTTGGTATCTCTTGAAGATGAAAAAGTGTGTTATTATATTTATAGTTACAGCACCATTTCTGTGGGATAGTCTTGTTATTAATTTCCAAAACAATTCTTGTAATTAAATACATGCAGTAAAATATAAGTTATGTGAATGTTTTAAACTCTTGTTGTATAGTTTTGATCATACAATTAACATTATATTAAAAGGTTAAAAATGTGTGCAGCATTTTTATTTTCACAGGCCTTCTGGCACTTGTACTAGCACTTTTCAGATTTGAAGTTTAAGCCTAGTTACAGGAGATTATTATGTTGCCATTTTTAAATTTACTGTTTTAATTTTTTGACATGAAATTTGAACCTGTTTTTAATACAGTTTTCATTCATTAATCGATTTTATTGATATTTTTGTACTAATTTTTTACTGTGAAAATTGTAATTTAGTTTTTAAACCAATTATAGTTCATTATAATCCAGTTTTTTTAAACCAATTATAGTTCAACATTTTCATCAGGCTTTGTTTCAGGAATCTTGCATTAACTGTGTAATTTTAACTTAGAACTTATTATCATTTTATATAATTGTGGTCTGCATTTTGTTTTGTCATCAGTCTACATTAAAATACAGCTGTATTAAAAAAATGAAACAAGAATTTTATATATATAAATGATTGATAGCAGCAAGTCTTAAGTTTTGAACAATTATCCTGACATGTAACTTTTTGGTTACTGATAAAAAAAAAAGACATTTAAAATAAAATTACTCATATCGTCTGGAATTAGTTATATTTACAGTCTGTGAAATTGCTTATTTAATATGATGTGTTTATTTATTTATTTAAATAACTTCTTTTCCCCACCAGTAGTGGTTTTTGTAAAGAACAAGCATCAATAACGTGTTTTGTGTTTATACATATATGAATTGATCATGAAATTACTGTGTGTGTATAATTGTAGTAGTCTAGCAACTTAACAGTTTGATGTTTTCATTTCATTTTAGAAAGATTGATGTGAAGTCCAGTTTAGACATCTAGTTAAATTAAATTGTAAAAGATGTCAGAATAATTTGGTATGTATATATATATATATACATACATATGTAGTACAATGTTATAATTTTCCTATGTTTGTTGTTATTTGTTTTTATTTTTGTTTGTGGACTTTTAAACTGTTTCAATTTGCCGCTTCATATTTAGAACCGTTAAGAACATATGAAATAACAATTGTTATATTTCATCCAACTGTATCCTCTCACAAGTAGCTTCAAATGTGAAGTTTTTGTTTGGGGATTTATTTATGACCATGTCATCGCAAGGGCTGTTTTATCATCAATATATTTATTTTCAGAGGCCTAATTATGGAATTTTTATTGTGCTTTTGTTGATCAGATATGTTGTCTCTTTCTTACCCCTAACAACTATTAATATTGTATGTAAAATAGAAACGTTTAGTGCAATGTACCAGTTGTCTCATGTCTGTTGTTGCAAAAAAAAGAAAAGAAAAAAAGATTCTATTGGTGATTATCTTCACTCAGACGCTTTTATTTTTTGCACGAATTTCCACTCCAAATATCGAAACTTCCATTTTCTTATTATAACTATGTCACTAAAGGCAAATCACAGTGGTAAACGAAAAACAGTTATGTACTTTTTTTGTTTAGTCAGTGAAGTTGGCAAACACACGTCCGTATGTGCTCGTGTGTTACATGACTAGAATATTGACCATAACTAGAGAATGTTTTTAACTGTGAATTTCATATTTGATATATAAGAATCTTTGTATAAAGTGATACTCTAGTTAAAACGGAACTCAAGTTAACAAATTACAAACAGTTCTTGTCTTTCATACATGGATTTTTGTATGTGATTTAGAAGCTAGTGATTCATTCTAAAAGTGTGCAGTTAGGCTTTCCGCTATGGGCGCAACAACTTATAAGTGGCTGGGTTGATATTTGTGATGTAGGAATACACGTCTAGTTTATTGAATTAGAAACAATATCATATTTCCTTACGAGTGACGTAACTCTTGTTTATAAACGTACCACTAAACTTCAATATTTCAAAAGAGTATACAAACGGCTAGGCTTAGCTCCAGATTTCATATTTTAGTAATTCTTAACAACAAAACTTGAGTAATGAATCTTGAAGGAAAGGTAGATTGGCTGAAACATCATGGTAGAAGAAAGGATTCTTATGGTAGGCGTATAGATATAAATCACATCAAACAAGTTATTACCAAGAATCATACAAAACTAAATTAAACAATGATCTTCCTAGTTGAGAAGTGGTGTAGCACGAAACTAAACTTCTTAGCTGGTCATAGAGTATGCTTAATGTGAGAGTGACAAGCACGTGGGAAATGAGTTTGTGGCCGTATTTCAACATGCCTGGGGGGGGGGGGGTCTGCTGTGCCCAGGTTTTGAATATTGTGTTGTCTTATAAGGTTGCATAAGAAGCAAGTTTTTCATTTGTGTTTCTGAGTTGTTGTTTTTTGTTTTCATTTCGTGCCTCCATAAAAATAAAAAAATGCATATACATATGCTGAATGATTAAAGAAAGAATTATGTTTCTCATTTTTCGGGGGTAAGTTCCCCCTTTCTCCCTTTCCTCCCTGCGGACGCCCATGCATGCCTCTGCGTTGTATGCTTATAAATCTCACTTGGTTGGTCTGTGCATATGATTATGAAATGAATTACTAGTTCCTGCATATTTAAAAAAATACACCCCCATCACCCATTTTAAGACTCCTGTCTTGAAATTCTTTCCCGCGTCTCTGAAGAGCAATGTATATTTTACATTTCAATGCTGCAGTGTGTGTACACATGTTTGAAAAAAAAATACTAAGTTTGTACTTGTGGCACTTATCACCTTATAATGTAAAAACTCGGAATTTCATTACGTGGATTATTGTTATGCTCAGTAATCCTAAATTGTTTTTTTTTCTTATATTTTATTGGATTTTCACCTGCAACTATTGTTTAAAGATACACCGATTTAAGGTACTATTTTTAAACGCTCACTTACACGAAATGTATATTTAAATACAGTTAATGACTGTACTTGTGAATTAAGTAAATAAAGTAAAAAGCATCACAGCGTTTAAAAGTGCGCAATAATTTATTACAACGGCACCAGGTTCGATGGATAACTATAGGTTTTGGCGCCACCATCATCATAAGTCACGACTTTATGACGTCACGGTAGCACCGACCGCCGAAAGGTGTATTTATCCAAAGAGCCTTTGTGACGTTTTACGTATATTATTTTTAATTTCTTTTTTAACGTTTTGATATTTCGGTTTATTTAAAGTAAACATTATGTTGTTGCGGAGTATGTTAAGATATTGGTATCTTGTATTAGTTATAATGTGTTTATGGCCGTAATGTGCCATAATATGATTATAGAAGCATATAAAATATATTTTAAAGTATAAATTTAAAAGTAAAGAAGTTTAAAAACAACCGTACAAATATTCTACTATTAAGTAATATAGTAACAAATATTAAAATTGGAAAATGAAGGGGGGGGGGCAACAAAACGCATGTTTAGAAAGTGGCTTATGGTAAAGAGAAGAATAGAGTAACATTGCTTAACTGGCGTTTTATTGAGCTGTCGCATGCACATCTAAATAGAAATTCATGTTTAAGTCAAAAAAATGTATGATTTAGTATGAATCGGTATGTTGAATGCCCTTGGTATAATAGCAGAATACGTTCAGATGTTTCTTGTTACAAAATGTTCCACCAGGTATCTGAAGAATAGTTTAGTGTATTTGTTATAATTTTAGCCCAACTGAAGATTGTAAAATGAAGCTAATAAAGAGAGTGACAAATTAGGGCATGGGTATAAATATAGCCCGGTAAGCGGAAGCTTTTTTGTAAGGCTTCTCCTTTGATGCTGGTTAAACTTTTTATTTGTAAAAAAAAAGTGGAATTTCCTACAAATTGATTTTTATTGTAGTGCATTTTGGTAGAGTACTTGCCATAGTCATTATACGGTTTAGATATGTTGACTTTGTACGTGTGAAGTCGTGATGTGCAGATTTTAAACTGTTTTACACAACATTTACTGTTTACACACACGCATGTAGACCGTTTTCTTCAAAACTGTGTACTGTTGAATAACAAATGTAAAAATTTGGTTGTGACCGGACCTGTTTGTTTTACGTATTTATATAATTCGCGACGTTTTAAGAATCGATCTGTTTTAAACGTTTCGGCCTGTATTATCTGTATGGAAAACTGTGTCGCTTGTCTTGTATGTAACCAAATAAAGAAAGTTGTTGTATGTTTGTTTGTTTCTTCGTTATTTATTGAAAACATTTGTATTATTAAAGCATGACACAGCTTCAAACTTCCTAACAACTGTAACGTGATTTTGCATATCGAGAACACACAGTAGTTTCACTTTATAGGGCGTGCCATAACTTGGAGTATTTTATCATATAACACCTAAACTCACACCCTCAAAAGCGGCCCGGCATGGCCAGGTGGTTAGGGCGCTTGACTCGCAATCTGAATCCCACCAAATATGCTCATCCTTTCAGCTGTGGGGCATTATAATGTGACGGTCAAAGAGTTGGCGGTGGGTAGTGATGACTAGCTCCCTCTAGTCTTTCAATGCTAAATTAGGGACGGCTAGCGCAGATAGCCCTCGTGTAGCTTTGCGCGAAATTCAAAAGCAATATTTTCAAAATTTGTTCTTTGATGCTTGGGGTACATGTACAGACTGAAATTCATTATTGTGTCAAGCACTGCGGCACAAGGTCAGCTTTTGCCACTGAAGTTCGTGGATTTGCACCTATTACAAAATGCCACTACCTGTTTACCACGGCTAGGATACGACTTGTTGCGAGTCTCTTATTGGGTGGTCCTGGTTCTCCCAAGTTGATTGAAATTATCATGTTTTACAATTCTATACAGTACAATAGATATCCTCTACTTGGAAATTCTGGATCCAGATCTGAACACATGGTCTGAGTGTATGAATATTTTGCGTCGAAAAGAGCTGTTATATACCTTTCTTAAAAACGATCAATTTCCGTAGGCATAACACTGCCTATATCTCTCTATGCAATGTTAAAACGTAGTTCTAATACATGTCATTCCACCGTGATTTTGTATCGGCTGTGATTTACACCGATTTGCTGATTTGTGTGTTCAAAATCGTTTTAATATAATGTACTTAGCCCTCTGAATTTCCCATGTCTAGCCAAGTAGCATTTGATGACCTTACACGTCTTACTAAATATGACCTTTCAAATGGTAATGCATCATGTATGGATAATTGACTAACTATCTTTCTACGCTTAATGACCCCAGTGACACAGCGGTATGTCTGTGGACAACGCTGGAAACCGGGTTTCGATACTGTGGTGGGCAGAGCACAGATAGCCTATTGTGTAGCTTTGTGCTTAACTTCAATTAAACAAACAAAATCAAACGTTTAATACTTCAAGAGTAAAGATGGACCTTTATAGCTTTGTAAGTACAGCGTTATAGATACATACAATAGTTGTAATGAATTATATCGATTGACTAGTGGTCGAACGTGACCAAACAAGTCAGCATCTGGAAATTAAATGATCAATAAAGTGATCACTGGTAAATTCTGATACTTACGTTTAAAATTATAATTACACGCGGTTCTAGTATGTTATTGTATTAACTAAAAGTAAATTATTGGATACATCATATAAAAACAAGAAGAAATCTTAACAAAAATTATGGCTGTTATAATTATATATATATAAACTAGTAAAGTGTAAGACTGTGCACATACGCAAGTAGAAATCCTGGTTATGTACCAATATTTGTATATGTGTATTGCCTTATAATTTACTTGTTTCTTTTATTTTATTCACAGCCTTACGTTTTGTCCATAAGGGTCTTTGTATTGATGACTGTATAGTTACAGTTTGGAACGGACATGTAACATATGATTTAAAACTGATTTTTAGCCACCAAGTATTATATATCTAAATAAATTTAAACGGCACTATGTATACAATTAAAATGAGAACAACGTTGAAATAATTGCTTCATATATAAGTAATTATAAACATGGACCAGCTCTAAAAAGACTACATGTTTTGGTGTCCTTACACCAACATCTTCAGAAGTAAAAGTTGAGGTTTGATCAAGACTTAAACAACTGTACAATAATTTACGTGATTTTGACGCCATCTAGATTTAAACACCCAGAGTTTATAAAACATATTTCCAGTAATTTATTTCTTCTAAACCTGGACCAACATCCTTGTTCAACACAATATCTTTCTTTTTTTCAATTTCTATTGTTTCTCTGATATTTAATTCATAGTTCAACTCCACCTGATGTATCAGTTTAACATTACTCCAGTCTATAACATAAGTTTTGTTTGCCACATGTTCTGCTAAGGCAAACTAATTTACTATATATTTTTACTTAATTCTTATGTGCCTTGATCCTAAATTTCATATTTCTATACGCTTGGCCAATGTTAACTCCTGAAGATGGGGCATAAGAATACCGAAAAATGTAGAGTCTTTTTAGGGTTGGTCCCTGTTTTTAAATTATTTATTGTACAATTAAGACACATGGGCGGCCAAAACAAAAACAACCAGCAGAACACACTATGTACTTGTTATTAATAGGAGTGATAGTTTAGCGATTTTCCATCTTCCGTAGCTCAGACTGTGGTAATCCGAACTATCACATATTTTCAGTGGATGTGCTTACTGGACTGTAACTTCACATACCAAATTTAAATGCAATCCATTTAGAAATACTTGAGATATAACATCTCCAACTTTGATTGAGTTTCATCCCCCCTTCTTTTTTTTTCTTTGTCGCACCAAAAGTACGGTTTGTTTGTAGTTATGCACCAAGCTACAGAAAAGGCTATCTGTGCTTTCCCCACCACGGGTGTCGAAACCCGGTTTCTAGCTTTGTCACTCCACAGACATACCGCTGTGCCACTGGAGGGCCCAAAAGTACGGCCTCTTTATTTGATATAAAAGTATACTTAACTTTTATGGATTTTTTTTTCAAATTTGGTAAACTAATAGATCTTTAAACCTACAATTAGGAGTCTCATTTGATGTAAATATAAGCCACAAGTGCGGAATTATTTTAAAAAATAAGCCGCTCAAATGTAACGAAACTTTTTGCGCACGCCTACGCGAAAAGTCATGTGAGCTATCGGTTTAACATTTTTACTACAGCTTCACCTAAGAGTAAAAGTTGACCGATTTTAGTTTTTGTCATTCGGATTAAAGATGGCTGATTTAAAGCAGCAAAAATATAACATGAAAGAACGTGCAGATACATAAGTATTGGTTAGGCGAAGTAAACTAGTTAACAGTTTCTAGCTCAAGTTTTCAAAAGAATCATACATTATTCACTGCAAACTTTTCAGCACAAATTTACTATATTTTATGAAATTATCCTAATTAAAGAGCGTTTAGCGTCACATGATATTAGCTTAATCAACTAGCATAAGTAATAATGCTTGATATGTCTGTAATGATTGGATGGAGGCGACGACAAGAAACTGTTAATCTAAATTCTATGGCGTTAGTATAAAAGAAGCTATTAACACTGTTTTAGAGAGGAAAACTACTACCATACATTTTAAAGAATCTGGTTGGTTCTGTAAAGTAAAGGTCTGTTCCGAATAATGGGGTTGCGATTCTAAAGCTAATATTGGTTACTATCGAGTGTCAGTTTCTTATTTGATGTGTTTTGTTGGTGTGTATTGACAAAAAGTCATGATATCTAAGTCAAAAAACATCTTAGGTGTGAAAAAAAGGTGCAGACAAAAAAGGATTCAGCGTTCGACTTAAAGGAATGAAATCAGAATTGACAGCCAAACTGGTAGCTACACTTATA